CTCACTATTTATGGGGGTAAGATAATTGGCTCATAGTCATATTTGCATCCTGACCACTGTGCTTAGGTGGGCACATTCCACAACAGCCATTGGCTATTGCATTGTTCTCTGTCTCCCCCCACATCCAGTGGGTGCATCCTTCATGACCAGACACAGACCAGATGCATCTATCACCACCAACACAGGTGGTTATCACTTGAAAGAGGTCAAGGGAGGGGGAGTCGGAGGGGAGGGGGGAGCACACCGCCACAGTTGGGCTTGTTCAGCCTGAAGAAGGGAAGACTGAGAGTAGATCTCATAAATACTTATAAATATCTTAAGGGTGGGTATCACGAGGATGGAGCCAGACTCTTCTCAGTGGTGCCCAGCAACAGGACAAGGGGCAGTGGGCACAACCTGAAGCAGAAGAGGTTCCAGTTGAATGTGAGGAAGAACTTCTTGACTTTGAGGGTGACAGAGCCCTGGCACAGGCTACCCAGTGGGGCTGTGGAGTCTCCTTCTCTGGAGATATTCAAAGCCCGCCTGGACGATGTCCTGCGCACCCTGCTCTGGGTGAGCCTGCTTTAGCAGGGGGTTGGACTGGGTGATCTCCCAAGGTCCCTTCCAACCCCTGCCACTCTGTGATTCTGTGAATATTAGTAAGCTGTGATGAGTATTAATAACTTGTAAACGTAAAGCCAGATCCATTTTGTAACCAGGTAGATTTAACCAAAAATCATGTGGTGACATTGGCTTTGGTCCAGCTGCACCAGGAAAGGAGGAGGAAAAGGAAAGAAGTCCTCATTTGCAAAGTGATTTTTCAAACTTGTCAAGCCTTGCAAATACTCCAAAACTTCCTTGCAGTTTTATTTTACTCAGCACATCAGCAAAAAGGTGATGTGTTTCAGCTTGAAAATGAACTTAAAGACCTATAAACTGCCATTTTTTTGTACCTAAGACTTTTGAAGTTGATTCATTTTCCCTTCCAGTAACTTCAATGGGAGTGGCATCATCCCCATGTCTCCATAACCCATCAGGATCAGAAGAGTTAAAAAGCCCCTGTATAGTTACAGAACTTGACAGATCAGCCATCCTGATATCTTGAATCTCGTGTGGGATTTATCTCCTGACAGGGCATTATAAATTACCGTGAAATTCCCTAATGAAAATTTTTCTGTAGGAAAAGTCTTTGTAACATCATCTCTGTAGGAAAACTGATACCAGAGATTTA